GACTGTTATTGTATAAATAGCATGTGTACTGGCAAATAAAATATTTGGTTGAAAGTAAGCGCCGTGTGCCTTAATATCAAGTGCCGCTGCCTTTCCAATATTCGTGGTTCCCGCCTTGCTCAGCGTCATTTGGCCTTCGTTATACAGTGCATTGAGTTCGGCAGCGATGTGGCATTAAACTGCTGCAGTTACGTCGCTTTCGTCTAGCAGATTGCCACTCTTTTCGATGATCTCAAACTCGCCAGAGATTATCGACCTATTTGGCGCCTGCGCAGTTCATCATCTGGCTTTCATTGCTCTCCATGCCCAACCATGAACATGTGCACAAGGGTGCTATGCTTCGAGAGTGCCCGTCTGCATTGCACCCCAGCCTACTGTCAAGCTGGTGCTCCTGCGCACTTCCTGGCTCAACCAGAGCCTCGACTGTGCTGCCACAGTTCGAAATACCCTGCACAAGTGCTCTGCTTTTCAGTGGGTCTAGCAGAGACGTGGCATTTGATTGCTGCAGTAACGTCACTTTTGTCTCACAGGTAACTAATGCTTGTGACTACAAATGTTATAAAAGTGGTGATCACTTCCTTGTATTGCTGCCGGACACTGCCCATTCCCTGTCTCTGCTGTTGTGTTTTTCTTTTTGCAGTCTTTGAGAAAACTGTTGTTTCTTGCAGGCGACATTGAGTTGAACCCCAGGCCTAACACTGAAAAACTGTTGATTCAGTTGTTAGCTAGACAAGCACGCAGTAGTCATGACATAGCTGCCCTAACTTTCAAGGTTTCATCATTGGATGACAGCTTTACTACACTAGAGTCGCTTGTTTCCTTTAACACTGACACAGCCCAGCGCTTGCAATCACTTGAGCAGACCGTAACAACCTTAAAAGCACAATAGAGAAGTTATATATGAAAAATGACGACCTAGAGAACAGGTCAAGAAGGATCAACTTGGTCATTTATGAGCTGCTCGAACCGCCGCACGAAACCCTGGAAACTCTACTAGCCTCTGTCACTGTCAGATAAACTAGGTGCTCACTGCCTCAGACTCGGAGCTCGAAGGCACGACGAAGGACCATCCTGTCATAACAAATCTGCTTGACTTCAGGCTTAAACTAGAAATACTGAAAAATTCCCAGAAACTCAAGAACACTAACATATTCATAAACAGGGATTTCTCTGCCCGTGTTCACCTCCTACGCAGAAATCCATAGCGACATTCGACTGACTCAAGAAATGGCACGCAGTCAGCTCATCTGCATTTTGATACCTAGGTTACTGATATTGTTCGCTATGATGGGATGATTCGAAACGCTGTATTCTGAAAACCTCCGGATTGCGGTGCACTGTCTGACTGCCTCCTGATAAGCAGGTCACAATTTTGACCGTTAAAGTAAGAATTTTTATCAATAACGTTTCACAAAGGTCAGTGAGACATCAACCGTCTCGTTGAATCTCACAATCTGACTGTAATCTGCGTGGCGGAAACCTAGTAACACGGCACAATACGGAATAGCGAATTCTTAGTTAAATGTTAGTGCACTAAGCAAGGACAGAATTGGTGGTCGGGGGGGAGGCGAAGTGATATTTATAAAGAAAGGCATTGATTTCTTCCTACCTACCAGATACTAAGTCACTATGGTGTAAAATCATGGTTGGAACTTCAGCTGTTGTATTAGACACAATTTACCGCCCCCTACTATGAATACTGACTTTTTTGACCTTGTAAGAAATTACATAGCACTGCATAGGCCACTATAAGGGGAAATTGATAATCGCAGGCGATTTTGGTTTCCTACATACTGACTGGCAATCACTCAGGTCAACTGGGCTTGATAAAAAGCGCTGCGAATTGGTTATCGAGATGTCCTTGTCTTTCAGTATGACCCAACTTGTCAGCCACCCAACTCGCAAAAATTCTGTCTTAGACTGTTTTTGTAAATGGCGAACTTGCCCATAATCAACACAAGTGCTCCATCGTTGAAGGCTTGTCAGATCACAAGGCGGTGATGACTAGTGTGTATGTTGTATGTGAAGAAAAACTTTGTGCATAAGTATATACCAAACTTTAATGCTAAAAAAGATGATGCGTCTATTGTGAACATGCTTGGTTCTATGTACGAGAATTTTTTTGCTTTTTGATTCCTGCATGATGTTGACTTTCTGGTCAACAAGTTTCATAGTACTGTTCAAGACCGTATCACTAGTCATGTTCCTATGAGATGTGTGGAGCGCAATGAATGTCACCTGTGATACAATCGCGAAATCATTCACCTCTTTTTGCTGGTGATCACATATCACTTCACTAGATGGGTAGAAGTTTCCCCCCTTAAGAAGCTGACGGCTCGAGTGATCTTAGAGAAGTTGATGGAGGTTTTCATCAGGTTCGGGATCCCTGAGCAGTTGATTATAGACGATATTTCACTGCGAAGGTGTTTGCTTACACGTGCGCAACGTAGGGCATTAAGCACAAGAAAACAACCACCTACCATGCTCAGTTGAACCAACAGAGTAAGTCAATCGAAACATCAAGCACATCCTGGTTGCGTTCTCTGAAGGACATAGGCACTGGGATACCTAGATTCCAGAGATCGGTTTTGCATTGCATACCTGCCAAGTTCAAGGATTCTGAATACGAGAGACTTCTGCAACAGGGGAGGAGGAAAAGGGCCGAATTATTTGCGCCTGGCTTTTTTTTTTTTTCGACACCAAAAAACCCAAATACAAACAAACAAACAACCTGAAAAACAAGGAGGGGGGGGGGGGTCTCAATTGCAAGTGCCACCATCAGCGTTGCAGTCTTATGGTAGCTTGGAGTGGCCGAACACACGAGAGTAGGGTTTCCCACTAAGGTGAAAGTCTCAAAGGATCAACACAACTAACAAAATCTATTTGCGTCAAAACTTAAGTCTTCCCGGGACACACGTGAACGGTTGTTGAAACACTTTCGTTGTGTGTGAATTACTCCTTTTTATATATATATATATATATATATATATATATATATATATATATATATATATATATATACATGAACACAAAAAAAAATAAAGCCCCAACTCGTCGCAATGCGCCGACCTGCGCTTATCTTTCACACGTACTTTGCCCTTTGCCCCGCATATGGGGGGGGATTTAGATGCTTGTGCGCGTGCGCTTATCCTTTGGTGGGAAGAATCGTGTGCCTCTGGCTTTTACTGGAACGATTGCATTAGTTTCCGGGCCCACAAGGGTCACTTCGGTCTCTGCACAAGCCACGTTTGTGAAAAGAGCACGCTTTTCAAACACAGCGAGGTATAACAACTGGGACACTTGTTAGTTTGTACGCATCAGTAACTGTAATTACATATCGTGCATCCTTTTTGTTTAAACAGTACGTTACGTGTCCAGCGGTAAATGTTAGTTTGCTCTCGTCCTGTGTGTATCGTTTTCTTGTGTCATCTGTGTGAGAGCAGCGCGTTGCACGTTACGATCTGCTTGCCGTTCTCAACGTGACACTCCAAGTTGTGGCTGTCGCATTCATTGCTTCGCCCTTACGGCAAAACTGCGACTTTTGTTTTCTTTTGTTCTTTTTACATATTTACGGCCTTTAATCTACCGCTGCGTGCCCTCAGAGCTCGTAGATCGCTATCGCGTCGCCGCGACCGCAGTTTCGTCCGCCATCGTTTCGGCAAACGGTAGCTCCTTTTACGATCCTCCTGTGCTTGGATATGTAGGCGCCAAAACTAAGTCGTTTTACACAATCCAAGATCGCATCTGCTGCAGTTCTGTCCGCAGAGTTTGCGGAAAGCGGCGTTAATTTGACTGGTTGAGTGCACACTTTCGAGGTTCTTTCAGTTACGTCATCGCCAAATATAATCGTGTCAACAACGACCGCGGTTCTGTCCACAACAGTTGTGGCAACGACAATCACACGCACTGTAGAAGACAGTGCGTGCACCAGTCGCCCGCGCACTTCCAAAGCTCGAGTATGCTGCTCTCGGCCTTCGTTTCACAGTTTCCGTACTAAAGTATGTATCACCCGCCGTCATTAGGAAATATGTTCGGAGCATTCGAACTTAGGCCCAATGAACATAGTGAAATTTGGCTGGAGATTTTCCCAAATTCGTACCTGTCGTGGTTTCGCACTGAGAGTCTACTGTATGTTTAGATAAATGCCTCTTAAACTCATTTATAATAAAATGGGGTAGGTTCGAAACGCCTGGAACGGATTGAGCTGCTTTTTTGCCAATGCGGCCAGATCACGCACAGGAATTTCGATTTTCTGGAGATTTTTATGACAACCGTACAAACGAAAGAGACGCGTTGTTTGTTGACCTAGCCTGTTGCCTTATTTGCCCGAACCCGCGTAGCTGCGATGACTCAAGCTACGAAAAGGGGACGTCAATCGTGCACAGTACAACTGTGTGCGGCTAGAACTTTAGCTATACTTCTGCATCAGCCGTACATAGGACGGAAACCCCCTACAGTCGTTCCCACCACCAAGCACAGCAGACCCTCTCCCCACCCTACCGCCTTTATGAAAGCTAGCAATGACAAAGGCACACAGTCGTTTTTAAGGAGCTTTGCTTATCAGCAGTTTTTGTGCACAGCACTGCTAGAGTTTTTGGGTACGCTTCAAGCTCAGGTGTTAACCATGGCTGCAGCTGAAGGAGCAACTTTTTAGCTCTAATCAGGATTATTTTTGTGACAGTTAGATAGACAGGTCAGTTTTCGTGACCTGGCAAGGTCTTGCAGAAATTCCATGACTATTCCCCGAATTTCCCAGAAATGTCCAAATTCCCCAGATTTTCCCGGTTTTCCAAATTGGCAGACACCCTGTTCCATGCTTTACGAGTGCACTTTTGTGGGCTTGTTCATATGGACTATACCTACCCTGCAAAATGAAGAAGCACATACTTTATGAGTAAAGCTACAAAAACAAAATTCATACGGAAAGTAGGCTACTTCCAAGTTGGCCAAAAGAGGGGGGAGGGAGCACTATCTGCGTTCAGGTTTCAGTTACTACAGACCTGGTAGGGCAAGCCAAAGCAGTTGTGGTGCGAGTTGCGGCTCCTGGCAGGTGGAGGGGGCGAGGCCACTGGCTCCACCGACGAGGCCTCCTCCTCCGCCCCCATGGCCGCTGGACCACCCTCCACACTGAAAACAGGGTGCTTGAGGTGAGCGCACTGATTCGACTTGCACTCTGCCTCCTCCTCTCACCTTGCCAGATGAAAGTCCCCCGGGTACCGGGGCTGCGTCAAGGCCAGGCTCATGCTGCACAGCTCCTCAGCCGCCACCGCCATTGCAGCAAGCAGCCTGCTGCTGCTGCCACGCTCCAGCGGGCTTGCCGGCTCAGTGGTAGCCACACCATCATGGGGACCCTGCATCAAGAAACGCTTTTGCTCAGCAACTTGTGTACCCAATTTGCAGGAGCACCGTTTGTCAATGCACTCCTGGCAGGCTTTGCTTTGTCCACAGCAAGCTTGCCATGCAAATGGCTGCCATAACCACCATGAAATCTCAAGAAAGCCCCCCCCCCCCCCCTGGTAAAAGAAAATCTGACAGTAATTGAAGGGGGGTGGGGGGGAGGTAAAGGTCTTTTCAGATCAAAATTGGTGATGGTGGAGGAATAGCCACACTAGGAATAAAAAATACACAGCCGTGCTTCTTGTTAAATGCTTCACTGAATACGCATGCACTGTTTTCATTCATTCTCATTCGGCAAAATAAAAATGGTGCATGAAACAGCAAAAATGGCGGGAAGGAAAAGGGCACACTTTCTAGTCTCCCAAAAAATGGAGGGGGGGGGGGGCACTTGCTCGGGATTTCACAGTAAGGACACTGCAGGCAAATTTTGCCAGTTAGCATAGGGGTCGAATTTTGTATACATGTAATTATACTAACAGCACAACAAGAGTGAAGGGATAGGAAGAAACACAAATGAGCACTGAACTTACAACTGAAGTTTATTTCCAGAACGAAGCAGAATATTAAAAAAAAAAATGACATGTGAACAAAACATTGCAGATCAATGTTTGCAAAAAAACAAAAAAGAGGAATTTGCCGTCACTTTCGGCGGCCATGCGCACGGGACAAATAGTGCACTTGTTTTTCCATCAAGGTGCAAGCGTGAGCAGCTTCCAGGTGCTTCTTTCATTTCTTTTTACCTTCGCAACTTGAAATAAAAACATTTTCCTTCAAAAAACGGGCATTTGTATCGGCACATGTATCATTCCTACCTTTAGCAACCTGGTCATAACGGAATGTGATAAGAATATTTTAAAGCACTTGTCGTCTATCTGCGTTCATATTTTCTGTTCTGTGGATGATTTCTTGGTGTCCCTTGAATGCGATGAGACGGTTTATGACAAAGGGTCGGGAATATTTTGGATATTTCTATAAGTGCCTGAATCCTTTGGACATTACACATAAAAAACCTGAAGAAAGCAACATGCAATTACTTGATATCACTCTGCATCGCCGTGGTAATCATATATACTGGAGGTAGGAGCTGCGTGCTCGGAAGCAACTTCTGTCTTATCAGTCGGTACATTCTGAACTAGTCAAAAGTGGTATTGTTCAGATGCGCATGAGGAATGCTCTCGAGAAGTCATGCACGCACGCACTGATTCATGAATCGTTCATCCAGCAAATTGCCCACATGGAAAAAGCGGATTATGCAAGGCGTGTTGTGGTATATGTGGCTGAGGCTACACTGAAAAGTAATGTCTCGCCGTAGCGTGATAGAGGAGGCATGTGCTACACCTGAATACAGAAAAATGAAGACGGCCATTGTGCCTTATATCCACAGTATTTTCCACGAAACGAAAAAGGTGGCATAACACCTGAAGGTTTTTTTCCTTGTATACTGTATTTGTTAGTGCTCTTAATTTATGTTTACAGTATTCAATATTCTATATCTACTTTTTTTTCTTTTTTCCAAAGTATCTGGTTTTTGTTGTTGTTGCAGAGTCAACATACGAATGATAGGTAGTATGCGGACTATTTGCACTTAGGGAGCCTTTGTGATCTTTCTTTTTCGGTTTCCATTTGGGATCGCACACTGAAGAGACGTGTCTACCTCCGTATGTTCCACACTTGACTTTTCTGTAGCAGTGCTTGGCTAGATGCCCTCTTACAGTGCATCGATAAGATCGCTTCTCAGCAGCCAATTTCTACAACTTTTCTTCATGGGTAATACTGCTTTCACAAACTGGAGTAGCGTGCTTTGTAGACCCACAAAACAGTCTTTATCCTTAGCTTTTGACGAACACTGCAAGACTGCTGCTGTTGGTAGAGTGTCGTTCAAGCTCCTTTTCTCTTCAGGTAGACGGGCGCCTTTCTTTCCTTTAAATTCATGAGCTTCACTTCTTTCGCAGCTTTAACTTCCACGCGAAGATACGTCAGGAGTTCTTGCAACTCCTTCTCGGCTGTGGCTGTTGATGATGAGTCATGCTATTGTTGTCCCGAGCCTGCATTGACTGTCGTAGATGGTAACCTTAGGTTGGCTTCTTTCCGGTAATAACCGACGACGATATCTGTTGGCAATGCCTTCAACAAAATATCCGTCATGATAGTTGCATAACTGGCAGGACTAACGTTTAATCCTTTCAGACCCCTGATGTGACACTGCACGTAATCCAACAGCTTTCGGAGGTTGTAGACGTCTTTTGAAGAATCAACTGCTGGTAGAGCACGCAGTCGGCGTAGATGGTCCTGTACAATATGCCGGTTATCTCTAATACCCCTGTCACACGGGCACTTAAAAGTCTTTTAAGTAAGCGGTCTTTTTCCGAAAAGGAGTTCCTGACAGCAGACACACGGCACAGAGCGAACTCCTTTTCAGAAGCGGTCTTTTTCGTAAACGGCGTTCGTCGATCTCTTTTACGGCTCCGAATGAGTAGCCTCGAAACCAGTGCAATTTTCGAATGGTGGGAAAAAAAGAGCGAATGCTTATTTTTCTGTCACCAAAACTCTTTGTAAAAACAAATTTCATATCCTGCAGAAGGTGTAATGAACTCTTTTAATGGTTATTTCCTTTTCTACTCTCGTAAGCAGCTACAACACGTCGGCAATATCACGTGGTGACGCTCGGTCTTGCGCTGCTTTATCCTCTCCTTGGCGGCTCTTGTAGCGTCTGCCTCGCTTTCCAGAGCGAGAAGGCAGGCCGTGAGGCTTGCGATCCTCGCTTTTTCTCCCGTACGGTCGCCCGTAACGTGTCGAGAGCAGCGAAAAACCAATACGGTAAATAAAAGCACAGTGGTGCCAGACGGACTTGTGCACGTCGCTAGTTATGGGAATGCTTCCTTATCTAGTGCAAAAAACATTCACATTGGTGTTTCTTCATCTCTTATTCTTAAATTTATTTGAAGAAACGAGCAGTGCAACAAGTCTTTAATTTGTACATCGTGATACATCGTTTAATTTTCATTGCTTCTCTTTTAACTGCTAACGCCACGCTTTCGCTAGCGTCTTCGAACGAAAACACTAAAAGGAGATCGTTGCTGCCGTGTGTCTGCGCCGCAAACACCTCTTTGTTAAAAGTCTTTCAACTTCGTAAAAGACCGCTTACTTAAAAGACTTTTTGCGCGCCCGTGTGACACAGGTATAAAACGACTTCTTAAAATCTCGATGGCATCGTCGTAGCACTCGGCCGTCGTTTGTAGCCCAGAAATCGCAGCGGCTGCGTCCCCTTTCAGAAGAGTCTTTAGATACTGAAACTTTTCTCCTTTTGTCAGATTTTTGTTTTCCTGAACAGCGGTCCTAAACTGCTCGCCAAAACGAATGCCACTGAGAGAGCTGTCCATCAAATGTCTGCCGCTGGAGTGTGGGAAGCTTGATTTTCTTGCGCAGTGTGCGATCCTCGAGTGTCTGGGATGTCGTGGGACAATGGATTTGATGCAATTGCCACTCCCGAACCTTTACCTGTCCCAGCATTTCTAGTGCAGCGTCTTGATGTGTCAACATAGCTTCAAACACTGTAGCGAACTCGTCCTCTGGAATAAGCTCTTCCAGCTTGGCGTTAACTTTATCCAAATCTGCGTTGTTGCCTTGTAGCCGTTCAATCAAAAATGAAACCTTTGCACTGTCAGCACTTTCCATCACGGTTTTGGCTTCATTGATGAGACGCGTATTCATCTGTCGTGCCGTTCGTTTCTCTTTCAGCGCTCTGACACGATTCATCTTGCTTTAACAATGCGTGACCATGCTTACCTCAGTCAACTGTTGCTGTCACGGCGAAAAGCAATGGCATATGTCCTTTCAGGATTTACTTTCTGGCTTTCTTCTAAGGTTGCCGCTGTCCTCACGGCGTGCTGTCTTCCGTTCGAAAGTTCCCGATGAGCACTGGTAGCATGTATTGCCCAGTGAGTACTCCGGATGGGTTTCAGCAACACTGTGAAATAACTGGTAACGGAATTTGAAGAAACAAGACTATATGTACATTATTTACACATAGCAGTTAGAATACTGCATGGCGGACGCTTTCTTCTTTCTCTTCTATCTTGAGAGTTCATGCGTTTTTTTCGACTTCTTCATCTTCTCAAGGTATGACAAGTTTTCAATAACACCGACCCAATTTCAACCTAAACAGCAGTTAGGTAGTGAATTATACTGATTTCTGTTAGGATGCAACTCATTGTAAGTGAACTACTCGAGAGCGCACGCACCGTAGACCCGCGCGTCGTTCCATCGGTGTTTCTCCTAGCTAGTGTAATGCGTGTTTGTGTGACCTTCGGCAATACGCACATGCTCGACGTGGCTCGAAACACTGATAACAAGAACTGGGTGCGCAAACAATGCGAAATCAAGAAACATGCGAGAAGCGGACAAAAAAGCAAAGAGAGAGCAACAGTGCGTAGAAAATCTCCCACGTCTAAGTAAAGGTCGTAGGCCACTCAAAAACAAAATTCTTTTTAAGGGCAGGCAGCGTTGAAATAACTTTTTCCTCAAAGCCAGCATGTCTTATTTAATTTACCCAGCTATTTACAGAGCGAAATATTGAATATTTATTCATTGGGAGGTAATCTTTGTCAAAAATTGCATTAAAAGTGCTAGCCACACCAGGTGTGATAAGTGACTAATAGGTGGGTTTATTCAGTAAAGCTTTGACATTTGTGTAACTAATGGCTGGAGCTATGCAGTGAACTAGAATAAATATTATGCGGTGAATATCAAGGAAGTAATACTAAAAAAACAAAAAAAACGGGGGAAAAGAGCCAATTTAGACTGAACCTGTAGGAGAATTCAGCTGTGAACTAAAAAATATTCGATGGATTTCTTTTATTCTAGTTCACTGCACAGATATATATGTTGTAAATCATTGTGCCAAATTTCAATTCAAAGTATACACTGAGAAACACGTTATGAAACTTTGCGTCGC